GACATTGTTCTGGGCTCCTGGCCTTCAGCCTGGCTCAACCCTGACTGTTGAGGACATTTGGAAATGAAATCAATCTCTTTTACTCTCTTTCTGCCTTTCAAACAAATAAAATGGTAATTAAAGTATTGTCAAAGGAGCAGGGAGTCATGACCAAACAGAATCACATAAAGGTATTACAAAACCAAGTATAATTTTTAAAATAAGTTCTTTACTACTAGTGTTCCTGGTCCTGTGTGAAACTTTCTGATCCTCAGAGAAGAGTCAGGTAGTATGGCTGCCATTAATATGGCTATCACAGAAATCACCCTGTAGGTGCTAAACCAAGTTGTCTCCTGCATTTTACTTATGACACACACAAAAAAATGTTTCTAAGGACACGGGTGCTGTATTTCTTGGACCCATGATCACTTATTATTTTAACCTTTGAAAGTCAATAATTTCAATTTTTTATTGGCCCAGAATTGTTTTATTGCAGCTTGGCTGACATTTTCTTTTAGTAATGTCATTAGCACTGCTTAAAAATGAATTCAGTTGAGGCGTATAATACCACCTTTGTTTTGAAAATATATTAAGACTGTGAGCACATGAGGTGGGTCACATGAGACCAAACAGTGTCTTTGTGATTCTACAGTCTTGCTTATACTTCAATTAAACAGAAGTAGTTTCTCCCGGGAAAAAAATGGGGCCTGAATTAAGACGTACCTTCTCTGAATTGTGTTGAACTCTCACGCCATCCTTTAAATGGAGATTCCAGCGTCAGAGTCACTAAGACGTCATTAAAATTTGTTGCACAATGTTCATATCCTTTACCTATTTTGCGGGTTTAGCCCTGGCAACGGTTGCTATGCTGACGTAGGTGTTTAATGGGTCATTGAAGTCAAACTCGTGAGAGTATCTAAAATGTCAGACATCAATGGTATTGATTCATTCAGATTTTCACATTTTGAAAGGTACAAAGAAAACTGAAATAGTTCTGTTTAATTTTGTAAGATCCAGATTAGACAGATACCCAGCATTTTATGGAAAAAGTAAAGTCATTTGTAGGGTTCCCTGTTAATGTGCCTGGAAAAGCAGCAAAGCATGGTCCAAGTAATTGAGCCCCTGTCACCCATGTGAGAGATCTGGATGGAGTTCCAGGTTCCTGGCTTCAGCCTGGCTCAGCCCTGGCCACTGCAGCCATATGGGGAGATCTTACTTTCTCTATATAACTGCCTTTGAGCTAAATCAATGAATCCATTAAAAAAAGGGGGGGAGGTTAAAATGAAGATTCATTTATTTTAAAGGAAAGAGAGAGGGAGATACAGAGGTCAATCTTTCATCGCTGATTCACTCCCTAAATGGCCACAATGGCCAGAACTGGGCCAGTTCAAAAACAGAAACCAAGAGCTTCTTCCAGGGCTCCCACGTGGGTGCAGGGGCCCAAGGTCCTGGGCCATCTTCCGCTGCTTTCCAGACACTTCAGCAGGGAGCTAGATGAGAAGTGGAGCAGCCAGTATTCACACCTATAGGGGATGTCACTATATGGGATGCCACTATTGTAGGTGGTGGATTTTACTTGCTGTGTCACAACTCTTCCTCCCCCTTCTTTAATATTTAAACATGAATATTTTTAAAAAATTAGAACAAAATTTCTTGATACTTAAGTTCTTTCCTGGTAAACACTAAGGGCTCCAAATTGTATTTCTTGCACATTTTGAAGTGTCTGTAGATTCTATCTAGTTTTGAGCCAGGCGTAGTAGTTGTCAAATCAACAGCCTAAGAACTTGTTAAGAAAGTCAGGCTGTGGGCCTCTTCCAGAACCAGACACTTAAGGGATGGGGCTGACAATCTGTGCTTACCACATCTCCTACCTCTACCCTCGTCACTCTTAGGCTCTGCCCTGAAGTTTGGACACCTTTGGTAGTCCAAACTTAAAGGCTCATGTAGAGGCCTGGCATGATAACCTAGTGGATGAAGTCCTCCACTTGAACGTGCCAGGATCCCATAAGGACACTGGTTCTAATCTTGGTGGTCCTGCTTCCCATCCAGTCCCTGCTTGTGGCCTCAAGCAGTTGAGGATGGCCCAAAGCCATGGGACCCTGCACCCACGTGGGAGACCAAGAAGAGCTCCTGGCTCCTGACTTCAGATTGGCTCAGCTCCAACTGCTGTGGTCACTTGGGGAGTGAATCATCAGACCGAGGATTTTCTTTTCTGTCTCTCCTCCTCTCTATGTATCTGACTTCGCAATAAAAACAAATAAAACTTTTTTAAATAAAAGGCTTATATCCTAAAACCTAGGGAGCTGAGTAGGTATTTGCCAACACATACACACAATCTTCAAAAAAGTTTGTGGAAAACCTGAATTACAAAAATGAAAAAAAAACACAATTATGCATGTGTTTTGTTAAAAATAAATCTATAAATAGATTTATCTTTTACTTCCACAAACTTTTTGAAGTACCTGTGTGTGTTCCTTAGTATCCATGGAAGTTGGTTCCTAGACCTTCCCTAGACAACGAAGTCCACAGTTGCTCAAGTTCCTTACATAATGATGTGTATAGCATCCACCTGTAACCGATATAGACCCACAGACACTGAATCAAGAGGATGTGTGACACCTAATAGAGTGTCAATCCTTTGTCAATAGTTGTTACACAGTAGTGTGCAAGGAATAGTGACAAGAAAAAACATAGGCAAAGAGGATTTAAATTTATTACTGAGGCTTGTTTGACAGAGTTTCAGTGACATTTGAGTGTTAACAAAATTAATGTTTTTCTGTTATAAGCAAGGCAACCTTTAAAGTAAATTTTGCAGATTCCTGACTGAGTGCTCAAGAAAAGCTTAAATGTGGCTGTGATTCTTTGTTACTGAAGCTGATACAGATCGATCCTGGAAAAACAGATTTGTAACATGTAAAAGTGAAGTTTGTGCTGGAAATAAAGGTTATCATTGATGGTTCGATGTAATCTGTCCTGTTATCTATCAGAATCATTAATAATATCACTTTGTTTTTATCAAATTAATTACTCAAGGTAATTAACAATGAATCTCTTATGTATTGAGAAAGTATCTTATAATACCGTTATTTCCATAAACTATGTGAATTAAAGAAAAATGTTGTCAACTTTGGCTGAGCCTATTATTTTCATGTGGTCAGTATGATCTATTTTATCAGTTTTCAGTCACTGAGCTTCTAATTTGTTGTGTGTTGTAAACAAAGGTTTAAAGAGCCTCTGATGGGGCCAGCGAATAGCAGGTTAAGCCACCACTTACATCGCTGGAATTCCACATCAGAGTGCCAGTTCAAGCTTTAGCTGCTCTGTCTCCCACCCAGCTTCCTGCTAAGGCACCTGAGGAGACACTGGATAATGGTCCAAGTACTTAACTACCTGCCACCTGTGTGCAAGACCTGAGTTCCTGGATCCTGGCTTCAACATGGCCTAGCCCTGGCTGTTGTGGGCATTTGGGAAATGAACCAGCAGATGAAAGATCTGACTGTCCCTCTCTGTCACCCTGCCTTTCAAATACATACATACATACATACATACATACATACATACATACATTACGTGAATCCTTATAAATAATCTTTTGTAGCTAAATATTATTCCTGTCCATAACAGTTCCCTTAGGATAATTCACAGATGTGGAATTGTTAAGTAGAAGAGTAATAATCGTATTATTTCAGAGTTTGACATTAGTGTTCATTAATCATTGCTTTAAATTTTTATGAAGACATTTAGGAGGTAAGTAAAGCAGTATTTATGACCCATGAGCATAATTTCTTCATTACTTTAAGGACTGCTTCGCACAGCTGCCTTCAAGTGTGCTCTGTGACCAAATAACCATTCTTTCCACCCTGGAGAAGTCCTATGGCAGGGAAAGTGCTGACTCGGAAGATCTAGTGTGGAGTGTTAACCTTTCCACTTCATTAGCTTTTGGATCTTCTGCAAGTTGCAACTTCTCTAAACTATAATTTTCTCATCTATAAAATTGCACTAAAAATAATGCCCCGTTTGCCTCATCAAGATGTGAAGATGAAATGAAAGGCTATTTGTGAAAGCAACTTGTAAATGCCAAAGCAGGATATAAATGTTCTTCGTTGGTATTGGCTCTTCCCCTCCTGAGAGCTTCTGAAAGCTCCTATCTCTGAGCCCACAGAGACAGGTTGCCTCTTGCAACATGGACCGTTTTTTCAATAGCATAGGAATAAGGTCTAGAAAAGTGAAGGCTGCAAAAGAAAAAAGAGCTTCATTCTAGTGAGAAACTCCTTTTCTGGAGAGTCCTTTCTGCTCCCTTCTCTGCCAACACTACAGCATAACAGGGTGCTGAAGTCAAGATGAATTCCAGGCTCTTTGAGTCTTGCAGCTTATCATCAAATCTCAGGGAAAACGGTGGTTATTCAAAAGGCACAGCACTTGTTCATCTAGAATCGGTATGATGGCTCAGGGTTCTTGAGACTGGATTAGCACCAGAACCAGCCTTTCCCAGCACCTATTGGTTCTCAGAAAAATTAATATCATCATGGAGACTGCCATCCTACCTGCCCCCTCCAGGAATGCATGTAATCCAGATGATCTCTTGTGAATGGATTTAGGTACATGTCAACTGATGAACTGCCTACCTACCAGAAAACCTTGATATTGACAAGATGCAGACAGAATAGTATGCAAATGTAGTGTGGTAAGAAGTGAGGGCTGACATTAAGGGTCCTGGGCTCTGGAGGCAGCTCTGTTCCCACACCTTGGGGAACCTTGGCATCCTCATCTGTAAAATAAGGGAGCTGGATGAGGACCCCTGTCCCTCGGGGATCCCCAGGGTCTCTCCCTATAGGAAGGCCTCATAATTCCATGGGTTGCATTATGACCTGCCCTGGTACTCACTCTTGCTTGTGATCACTATTAAGACTTCAGTGGCAGCGTAAGTGACAACAGAGTGTGCTCCCTCCAGGGTGGGGGTGGGGGAGCCTCAGCTGGACACTGGGGGAGGCAAAAGCATTCTGTGACATCACAATGACCAGCCCAGGCTTGATTTGACTCCTCAGCAAGACCAGTGCCAGGAAGGTCAGTCATAGACAGGAGTGGTGGAGCACTTCCCGAAGGAGCTCGGCGGGATCAGCCAGCCATGATGAAGGCTCAGGTAGGTGACACTCACCAGGCTCAGAACAGAGCTTGCTGGTGTCTACAGGCAAAGAAGAACAGGCCCACAGGTGAGGAGGAACAGATACGTCAGAGTAAAGGGCTGAAATGGGGCAGAAGAGATGCCAAGGGTGGTTCCAGCGGAGACAGAGCTTGGGCACGTGCGCCCGAAGCTTTTCAACAAGCTGGACCATGAGATGATTTCCGGGGCTCTTAATCCCCTGTCCATCTCTTCTCAACCACTGGGAAAATGCAGAAGGTGCAGGGCCCTCCAAGGCTGAATGCAAAACTGCTGCAGCCTTTCCACAAGTGGTGCCTGAAGATACTCTTCTCCCTGGATGTTTTTCTTTCTAACAGTTCCTCCCCCAGCCTGACAAGGGAAGAGTAAACGAAACAAAACTAAGCCATCTGCAAAGCATATTTTAGCAGAAGATAGTACAGCAAACACAAGCAAAAGTAACAAAAAGAGGAGAGGTAAAACCATATTCTGGGTTAGCAATGGAAACGGTCTCTAAAGTCCAGTTGGGAAACTTCAAGGCTTACAAGGCAAAAGGCCACTCTCTGAAGAGCGAGGGAAGGGCCTTAGGGTTGCGGAGTGAAGCCAGAGAGCTCAGCTGGAGCCAGCTGCAGCTCCTCCCCGGCGGAGTTCCGCGCCAGAGAAGCCCTAGCCGGGGATGTGGACAGTCTGTTTTCTTTACCTTGCCTTGGGGTTTTGGCTTCTAAAGTATTTGTTTCTTCCTGGAGTCCTGGGGCCCTGAGAGGCTCCGGGTGATGGCAAATAGCTGTTATGTTTAGCAGCAGGGCGGAGAACAGGGTGCGTGCCAGGCCCTGACTCATCCCTGCTTGGAGTCCCTTGGGTCTGAGCACATGGTGACCCCAAAGTTCAGAGCACAGAACGGTTAAGGCAGCCACGAGGAGTCTGGCCTGCACCGTCACATGGCTCAGGGCTCTGCTCCCAAAGTGGACGCAGCAGTGTGAGGTTCTGACAGGTAGACCACTTACTCACAGGGAGCCCCCCTGGCCAAGGAGCAGCCAAGGGAGGGAACGCAGCTTGAATGCCGTTTGGCCTTCATCAAACAACATTTTTTCATTGTATCAGTGAGACCAAGACGTACCAGTAAGACTGAGATGTTCACACTCTGTGAAAGTAGTAGTAACCCAAAGTATGTAAGCATTAAAGATCCAGATGAAAACAAAATGTACTTGCACGTTAACTTTATAGCACATGTTGAACTTCCACCTAGAAAAGTCACTATCATTTTCACTATTAGACTATGATCCAACCTCTTAAGACTTTGAGAATTACCATCTCATTGGCCATTTTCAGACTTCATTCATTTTATAGTCATTGAAAAGCAAGTTTAGGCTTAACCTAAAATAATATCAACCAAACCCAGAATGTAGGAAGTCATTTCTACTTGCATTTATTGACTATAATGTCCTCTGACAGCTGTGTTAGTCATACGTCCCAGAATTTTAGAGTTGGAGGAGAATAAAGAGGTCATTCACCCTAACAACTGCATTTCCAGAAGCCAGCATAAAGAGATTAGGTATCTTGGCTGAGGGTGTCCAGCCAGTGCTGGGCTTAAAACTTGAGTCCTCTGGCACTCAGCCTGGTGACTGATCCCAACACGCTCCGCCCCTGACTCACGTTAAATGAATGCATTTGCTAATATTTGAACTAGCTCTGTTAATTGCCGGGTTAGAATATTCTAAAAGAAGTCTCATCACCTTGTTGTGATTATTGGTTGATTCAGGCAGCTCTCTGTGGACCACACTGTTTACCACAGCTCCCCTCTTCTTCTGTAGTTCTAAACAAAACAAGCTTTGGTCCATACAGACCCAGGTGCCCAAGCTTCATATAAAATAGTGAAGTGGTGTGAGAGCAAGTCTGTGGAAGTTCACACACTGCTATATCTTGAGGCTTCATTAAAAATCCACTAAAATCACTGCACAGTTTACATGCTCTTTGCTGTACAATAAACAAACATACATACAATCTTCCTGTGGGGTTGCCTTTTCCAGTTTAGGTTGAGCAAACATCTGAAACATTGGGCTATTACTTAGTACCCATAAATACTAAGTAGCTACCTCATCACTTGATACAACTCTAATAGGAGCCTTTTCTAATTTATCCCAGAAATTGATACTTTCTTTAGAACTATTTTGAACATTTAAGAGCTTGTTTATACTCATCCAAGTTTTTTTTTTTTTTTAAGATTTATCATTTTACTTAAAGGTCAGAGTTAACGAGAGACAGAGAGAGAGAGAGACTGAGAGATGTTCCATCTGCTGGTTTACTCCTTCAAATGTTGAAATGGGCTTTACTGAAGTAGGGAGCCAGAGGTTTCTTCCAAGTTTCCCATGTGGGTGCAATGGGTCATCATCTTCTGCTTTCCTAGGCCATTAGCAGGGAGTTTGGATCAGAAACGGAGCAACTGGGACACAAAACAGCACATATTTGAGATGTCAGTACCTCAGATGGAGGATTAGCTTGAACTGTCACTTCACTGGCCCCTAGGACTTGTTTGACATAGAGCCATATATGTTTTGCATCACCCATGAACTTGCAGTTTTGAGCCTATGAATTTCCTGGACACAAGTATGCACTTTTTCTAATCTAATCAATTGTAAATGTATTAAGATTGGCCCAAAGGTCCAAATTTTAAGAGAAAATTAAATGAAGAGAAAAATTGAAATACATGTAGTTCTAATTTTCCAGTTACAGCTCTTCCATTAGCCATAGAAAGGTCTGATGAAAATAATCTAGGTCATTAGACTATTATCAGTCAACTTGAGAGTATTTCCTGAAAAAAATCTGTATGTTTTCTGGTTTTCCAGGCAGGTTATATTTTTTTAATAAAACAGAATTATAAAAATAAGTTCCGACAAAATGGAACATTCTATCATGGCATAATGTTTAAACAGGGCTGTGGTCACATCTTTCAGCTTCCATATTAATTTAAAAAGTTATGTAATTGAGTGATTTTGTACATACTACAGCACAAAACAGCAGGAGAAGGCCAACTATGGAAAGGGAAGAAATAAAAAGAGCTTTAGTTCTAGATTCTTCATTGTGATTTTGAAGTCTTTATCTAGTAAACTGAAACACACAGGTTATGTCAAGCCAGCTTCTGAAATGTTTGCTCTCAAATTATCGGAGGGGCTGAGGCATGACAAGTCTTATTTAGGAGGCTTGGAAGAAAAAAATAAATAAATAAGAGAAAGTACAAGAAAGTTTTCTCTCCAGAAATCCTGAAATGCCAGCATATCTCTTGCTGCCACCACCTGACTTGCCTTGGCCTCTGGCCACCTCAGGACCTCTGATATGCAGGACACACCCCTTCCCCCAGCCCCACCCACATGCCCACTCTCCTAAGAATTGTGCAACAGGGCCTTTGTAATTCGAGCCTGTGAAGTCTGCAGAGGAATGTGACCCAGGGCCGCCAAGGAGAGAACTGCTGTTTTCCCCTGTGTGCCTCTCTTGTGGGAACCTGGGAGGGGAAAGGTCTGCTCTAACACAGATGAAAGAAGTCACTGGTGACAGAACTGCGTAGCAAGAGCAGCGGTGCCTGCCCTTGTCTGTCACCTCTAGGAGCCAGCTTCATGTTGCCCCTAGGTGGACCTCACTTGTGTTTCAGCCTCTCCTAGATCCCACTGTGACCTCTGGAATGAGATTCACTGCCCCATCCTCTGGACTTGGCTTGGTGTGTGTGTGTGTGTGTGTGTGTGTGTGTGTGTGTGTGTGTGTATGGGGGGTTAGGTGCGGATGGCACAGCGGTAGCTGGTGGCTGCAGGACAACCATGAATCCTGAAGTCAAATCAAATGGTATCCATCAACTCACAACACAGAACCAGATTCATGATCCCCTTTGCAGACACCCTCTCCATCAGGACAAGTGCCCTATCTGGCCACTCTGCCCTGGCTGTGGTTGCACTTCTTCTGCCTGAGAGATAAGGTCAGGAGTTGAGTCCTTCTTCTATGTTCTCCAAATATCAGCATGGCTGGGCAAAAGGAACTCTACCTAATTCAATAATTACACAACAGATCCGCGTATGAAAGCCTCACGTGGCACCATGAATATGTACAATTGCTATGTGCCAATTAAAGTTAAAAAAGATGAAATACAGGTGAAATATGTATCTCCAATCTAGCAATCGAATGCTTTATACTTATTACTGAGTGTAATGAGCAATGGAAGACCACTGTAGTGTTTTATTTCACCCAATATTATTATGAGCTGTAGAAGTCATCCCAGAAAAATGATCTCCTTAATCAGTTGGGAAGATCACTCATCTGTGATTGGACAACAGCAAAATGAAATGTTTGACATAAATTGAGCTCATTAGAAGTTAAGGGTTTAGCTAGGAAGATAACCTGTACACCTGCAAAGAGTTCAAAGCAAAGAAGGAATTCTGTAACTGTGAGAAGAATGTGCACCTTGCAGCCTTCACAGAGCCCCAGGGGCTGGAGCCAGAAGGCTGCCAAGTTGCTTGGAGTGTTTGGGTTGCTCACAGCAGAGGCTCTGGCTGTGGGGGGAATTTTGAAGGAAGGGAAACTGAGTATGACTGACTGACTTACACGAGCTGGGGAGAATAACAATCTTTGAGAAAAAAAAAATTGGCCCTGATGCAACACGTCTCCTCCCACTCACCAACTTTATGTCCATTCTGTGCTTTCACAACTCATTCTTTGTATACAAAGCAAACAATTCATGTCACTTCAGTGGAACATGGGGAACAGGAGTCATGGAAACACACAGGAACCAGGAAAGATGAGCTGGACTCTGGCAGGTGGCGGCTGTCACCAGGGCTATGTCTGGATTTAACTCTGCACTCTGGCTTCCTGCACTCAAACCCTGAGGTCAGCATATGCCACATCTAATTCATTTGCTTCCCCTAAATCTGCTGTTGCTTAGCGATTCCCATCTCAGCCAGTAAGCTCTCCACATTCCCAGTCTATCTCTTTCCACCTGCAGTCAGTCACCAGGCTGAGGGACT